AGAAAGAAAAGGAGAGAAAAGTGGGACAAAGGGAGGAAAAGAAAGGAGAATGAAAGGAGAGAAAGGAGAGAGAAAAGAAGAAAGGAGAAAAAGGAAAGAGGAGGAAGAAAAAGAAAAAGGAAAGAGAAGGAAAAAGAAGAGAAGAAAGGGGAAAAAGGAAAGAAAAGAAAGAGGAAAAGGAGGGAAAAGAAAGAAAAAAAAAAAAAAAAAAGATCTACCCCCATCTCCCCCCATCTCCCACCATCTCCGTGGTAGGTGGACGAGAACATCAGCTCGACGCTGCGCGACAAGTACGGCGACCGCATGCTCCGCATGCAGGCCAACCTCACCGACCTGGCGGCCTACGAGGAGTCTAGGAACCTTCTAGGAACCTTCTAGGAACCTTCTAGGCCAACCTCACCGACCTGGCGGCCTACGAGGAGCTCTTTGCCTTCTCGTGCCCAAAGTTCCTCTCCGCTGCGCCGCCGCCGTACGAGGCGCCGGAGGACTACCACCCGCAAGAGGCGCGCCGGCTGCAGCCCGCTAGGAGTCGGAGTTCTGATGAGTCTTGCATCAGCATCACCGCCATTCGTGCTCTCATTCTTAGGCGTACCGGCTGCAGCTCAAGCTCTTCCTGGCCGAGGTGAAGCAGCAGGCGATGCTGCCCACCGTCCGCTCTCTCCTCAAGCTCTACACCACCATCGGCATCCCAAAGCTCGCGGAGCTGCTCGACGAGGTGGAAAGCGGCTACCCAGTTGAATGAACTCATTGACTAGCGTTACTTACTTCATTGATTGCTGCGACGAGGCGGAGAGCGGCGGCGACGCTGAGGGCGCCTTCCGGGAGCAGCTGCAGTGTCTCAAGCACAAGACGCACGCGCTAGTCCACTCTGGCGGATCGCCCATCTCCGGCTCCCTCGCCTCGAGCTGCTCAGGAGATGTCTCAGGACGTGTGTCTAAGAAGTGTCTGGGGGGGTGTCTAGGCTCCCTCGCCTCGAGCGCCGATGTCGACTTTTACGTGGACGGCGACATGGCGAGGGCCGGCAGGGCCCTCCACTCCTCCTCTCCCGCTCTCCGTGGACGCCGTGCTGCGCTCCTCTCTCTAGGCGCACGTGGCGGACAGTTCCCTCACGCGCCGCCACTCGGACTACTTTGTCCGCCAGATCGGGAAGCTCGACGAGATCATTGCGAACATCAAGGCGCCGGCGCCGTGAGGCATGCGGAGGCGCCGCAGTCGCCCGCCGCTGGCGAGGCGCGTCCGCGCAGTCGGGGCGTGCGTTGGCTTTACTACCCCCCCCCCCCCCCTTGTCCATCGCTTGCTCGGCTCGGCAGCACGCACAGGCCAGTCGATCGGCGTCGTCGCACGGCCGGGCCGCGCGGGACGGGGAGGGAGCGGGGGGTGGAGATCCGTAAATTCGTAAATGTGTAACAAAACCACCAGAGACTCCGACCCCCACCGGCCACCGCACCCAGCTACCAGGCAGGCAGAGACACAGCACTCGCGTCACGCTGAGAGCCGGAGGCTGGCCTCTCTCCCCAATACTAGGGTTGTCAAACGTTAACTTTGGGCCGGTAAATCCCGTGACGAAAAACGAACACACACCAAGCGCTAAAAGCGTGAGGAGGACACGGTTTCGAATTCGTACTAGTAGGAGCATCTGAGCAAAATTGAGCCCGCTCAGGTGCGAACAAAAAAGATATAAGCGTCGAGCAGGTTTCGAACTGGGGACCTCCCGCCAGCAGGAAGGCTTCGAGCAAGATAAACTGCGATTGAGAGGAGGTCTCAGATCGGGAAACCTATATTTCATACCGAGGGAATTATCCATCGCGTCCGAGTTCTCCAGCTGATCGTTGGTTGTATTTGTTGATTGGTCCTTTAGATCTCCTTAGGCGGCGTTGCAGGCATAGCCAAAACTACGCAAGGCCCCATGGAGTTGTGCTCGCACATGCCAGGCGCCCAGGTGGTGGCTGGCATATAGAGTGCAAGGCTTGTCCATGGTAGCGTACACGTTGGAGCTGCCATGGTGGTCGACGCTGTCATGTCGGTGGTGGTGTCGGCCTCGGCGATGCAATAGTCGAGGCCATACTGGCCGGAGGATAAGCCATACCTAGGTACTCGATAGCGGTCCCGCCATAGGCATAGCTGCCGCATAGAAGCAGGAGGCTAGACAGAGGCCGCATCGCGTCAGAGAGTGCTGTCACAAGTTTGATCCAAAACAACCACATACAAGACGGTCCCGCGCCTCGCCGCTAAGACGGCTACACGACCGCGGCTCGTGTGCGTGTAGCCGTCTTTGTCCGGAGTGAATACCACAACGCGCTCGTCGGTGACGGTGTCCCCCGATTTCGCCGCGGTCGGCGAACCTCGACAGCGCTTTCGGTGGCATGCAGCTCTTTGCGACAGAAGCCTGGAGAGCAGCTCCTCTGTGCAGAGTGTGTGAGCAGCCTACTGTGCGGCTCGCCCTCACTGGCCCTCAGTCACTTGTGCTGCGGCTTGTGTGAGCGACACTGCTCGGCGACTGCCGGCACACACTGTGAGACCATGGGTGTGAGGTCAAACCACGCTACCAGCGCTTGGTCACATCGGCCCCGAGGTCAGATCCATCTACTCTGTTGATGACAAGACTTGTCTACTCGCTGGAGCCGAGCAGGAGGGCCCGGCGCACAACCCCCTGGTCAACTCACCCTCTCCACACCCCGTATCGCGTGTGCCGATTGCCGTAATATCGCGCGCGGAAAAAACGCGCGCGCCGCCATGGTGGCGGAATATAGTGTTAATGCCCGGGAACAGAGGACTCGTGGAGGCACGTGGCGATTTCCGCGTGTGCGCTAGGTGCAGGTCTGGTGGTGCAGAGCGGATAGCCCCATGTGTCCTTTTAAAAAGATTTTTGTCCTAACTAAAAGGACAGGTTCATGAAGGGCGCCACGCGCCCCCGCTCGCCGGCCCAGTCGTACCTCCCGCACTCCACTTGCCCTTCGCGACTTCCCCGTGCCCGGTGGTGCCGGGGGACGACAGTCGTGGCCTTGTTTTGGACGTTACGTGCCGCCGAAACTTGATCACCGATCACCGTCTGAATAAGTAACTCCTAGAAAACTCTCCAAAGGCCGAGCGCATCAAATGCCGCTCGCTACAACAATGGCACCCTCCCGCAGTACATGCCACGCATCTTCACCACCAACAGCCAGCTGACAGAGGAGGACCACATCCTTCCCCGAAGGCGCAACGCCAAGCAGCAGCAGTTGATCGCCGCTACCGCAAGATTGGTCCGCTGACAGAGCCGCTGCAGCGACTGGGACGCAAGCTCAAAACCGGGCGGGCTCATAGTGAAGAAGATGGTGAAGGGAGTGCTTGGGCGCGTGTCCAAAGGTGCCAAGCGGCCTGCAGCGCCCTCCTCCCAGGCTGCAGCCCCCCCCCCTACGCAAGCGGCAGGTGATTGTAGACAGTGATGAGGACTAGCGGGCGTAAAGGACAAGCGGTTGCGGGTACGTCTCCGGGTCGGTTTTGAATGTGTTGCTTGGGCTGGGTCGTGACCCCGCCGCCTGGAGGCTGTCAGGTGGACATGGTAGCATACCTCAATGCCCAGGAGAGGCTTGCAGAGAGCTCAATGGGAGCGAAAACGCGAGATCAAGGTGTCCTTTTGTAAAGGACAAGTCCTTTAAAAGTCATCGGCCTATCCGAGAGGTTGCTGGCTGGCACGGCACTCGAGACACGCGCGCGAGGGTCACACTCACAGGGTCTCACACACGACTTCACAATCTTTCATTCAGGTCGCTCAGGTGGCGTAGAGGGTGGAGCCAGAATCTATGGTCTATGGACTATGCCGAGAAAGTGTATGCTGCTTGAGAGTTGAGAATCCGCCCAAGGTGGCTCGAGTCTCGGCCCTTCGCGCCGTGCCGTCTTCACCGACTGCGCTTGTGCGGCCGCTGCGCTACCCCCGCCGTCCCGAACGCCGCCGCAACGCCCGCCCCGCCGGCCGGCCGCGGCTTTGCCTTGGCCTGCGGGTTTCGGTTCTCGTCGAGCGGCAGCCTGCGCGCGTGAAGGGTGGGGTGAGAGGGGGCCGGGACGTCTCCGCGCGGGGAGGGGTCGGCGCACCGAGGCAGCCGCGTGCCTGCGGCGGACGCCTTGCAAGCGACGCCGCCGGCGCCCTTTCCTTTGGCCGAAGATCTTGCCGGCGGCGCGGGCGGCGGCGCGGGCGGCGGCGCGGGCGGCGGCGCGGGCGGCGGCGTGTCTGGCGGCGGTGGGGCCCCGGGCGGGAGAGGTGGGAGCGGGCCGGGGGGAAGCGGCGGCGGGAGCGGCGGGAGCGGTCCGTCGAGAGGGCCGTCGAGCATGCTCGCCTGGCCGCCGCCTCCCTCCTCGTGGAGAGGGGGGAGGGTCGTGATTTCGCCGCCCGCCCCGCCGCCCGCCTCCACCGCGCGCGCCTCGAGCGGCGGCTTGCTTGAGCCTCGCTTCCCGCGCCTATGAAGAGGGTCCGAGCAGGTTCCGGGAAAGTTCGTCGCAAACGGGCGCGATGTCCACTTGTGTCCGCCGGCCGCGAGACACGTCGACAACGCAATCTCTCGGCTATATCTCGAGCTATATCTCCGACCATATCTCGGCTACATCTCCGCCGGCCGCGAGACACGTCGACAAAGCTTCGCCGCGGCGGTCCGCGCGGGAGTGCGGCGTTTTCTCCGCCCGCTGTCCCCTCTTCCCCGCACTCTGCCGGCTCTTGCGGCACCTCCACCAGAATCGGCCACGCTGTCTCGTCCTGCGAGGTCTCGTCTTGCGGCACCGCCTCCGCAGCGGGGAGAAGCGGCGCAGCGGGGAGAAGCGGCGCAGCGGGGAGAAGCGGCGCATCCGGCTGTGGCGGCGGCGGCTGTTGCGGCGGCGGCTGTGGCGGCGGCGGTTGTTGTGGCGGCGGCTGTGGCTGCGCATCCGGCTGTGGCGGTGGCTGCGGCTGAAACGGCGGCTGCTGCGGTTGCGGCTGCGGCTGCAGTTGTGGCGGCTGCTGCTGCTGCTGCGGCGGCCGTGCAGCAGCCAGTGGCGGTGGCGCAAGCTGCTGCTGCTCGGGCGGTGGCGCCGGCGTGCAGACCTCCTCCTCTGCAGACGGCGCCGCTCCCGACAAGGAGGGTGGCGGATCGGCCGAGGCGGCCGCTGAGGCGGCCGCTTCGCTCGCGCTGCCGGCCAGCGCCTTCCTCGCCTCCTGCAGCCTGGGGCCGGGAGCGAGGGGCGGCGAGGGAGAGGGGCAAGCGCCAACCGAGCGCAGCTCCACGCTCTCCTCCGCCGCCCCGGCCTCACCCTTTTCCTTTGCGGGATCGGCGGGGGCGGGCGCGGCTGCGGCGGCCGCCCCCGCCGCCTCCACTCTCCGGGGGGGAGGGAGCCGAGAGCGGGCCGTCTTGGGCGCGGGGGCAGTCGCAATCGCGCCGGCAGTCGCGGGCGCGCCGGCAGTCGCGGGCGCGCCGGCAGTCGCGGGCGCGGGGGCAGTCCTCGCCGCCGAAGCGCCCGAGGGGGCGGATGCCGTCGGGGTCGTCTGGCCGAGGCGCGACGAGACCGCCGCCAAGGCCCCCTCCGCGGCCCCCTCCGCCGCACCGCCGGAAGTTGTCGCGTCGCCTGGTGCATACCGGGAGGGGACGAGGAGTGCGGCATCGCGCCCATGTGTGGCACTGCGCGCCGGCGCTTTGTGGTGCGGCCCGCTCTCAAGGCCAGGGCTGCGCTGATCTCGGCTGATCTCGGCTGATGAGTCACCTGCGGGCGAGCCGAGGCGAGGGCCGGGCGTCGGCGCCGGCGCCGCTGCGGAGGACTCGTTGAAGTTGCAGATGCTCGAGTTGCGACGGCCTGTCGCGGCACGCGAGGCGCGGTCGAGGCGCGGTGGTGGTGGTGGGGGGGGGGGGGGGTAGGGGGGATGTGGTAAGGTGTGTTTGGGGGGGAGGGGGGGGAGGGGGCTCTCTCAGGAGCAGAGTGCAGCTCGGCCAATCTCCGCAAATCTCCGCAAATCTCCGCCAACCTCGGCCAACCTCCGCTGCCACTGTCCGATCTCGGCCAGTCTCTCTCGGCTAGTCTCACCAGCTCGCGGGTTGAAGAGACGCCGCCTCGACGCGGCCTGCTGCGCCAGGGCCTGCTGCGCCGGAGGCGACCGCGAACGGGATGCGGTGGCGGCGGGAAGGGTAACGGCGGCGGCGGGAGCGGCGGCGGCGGGAGCGGCGGCGGCGGGAGCGACGCGTCCGCCTTTCACGTCGGCGGCAGAGGTTGTGGGGTCGCTCGAGACGACGTCAGCGTTCGATGCGGCGTCAGCAGTCGGCGCCCCGTTCGCGAGTGGCTTGCACACCGCGCGCTGCAGCGGCGCTGCCTCCGCCGCACGCGCCTTTGGAGCCGCCTCGGGCGCCGCGCCGGACCCCCACCCCGCCTCAGCTGCACCAGACTCCGCTGCTGAGCCGGGCTGCTGCTGCTGCTGCTGCTGCTGCTGCTGCTGCTGCTCCGCGGCCGCACCTCCTTGCTCCGGCGAGCCGCCCCTCGCCTCCGACGCAGGGGAGACCAGGGCGGTGTGGCTGCCGCCACTGCCGCTGCTGTAGCACTGGCTGTGACAGCTGCCGTCGCTGCAGCCGCTGCGGGCGCCGCCGCCGCCAGAGCCGAGGGGGCGGGCGGCGTTGCTGGCGCTGCCATCCTCGTCCTCTGGCACGCTGACACAGGGGGGCGCCGCCGCGCGAAGGAGTCCCGCCCCCTCTCCGAGAGGATGTACGACGTGCGCAGCATCGGAGAGCGAAACATCGGCGGCCGGCCGGAGCTGCGGCAGAGAGGGCTGCTGCGGCAGAGCGAGCGGCGTCGCCGCCGCGTCGAAGCAAGGCTGCGCTCCCGTCCCGCCCGCCCCCACCTCCACCCGTGCGCCCTCCTCCGCCCCTTCCGCCTCAATTGGCTCCGCCCTCGCCGCCTCCCCGGCCTCTGCCACCTCCAGCAGCGCCGAGCCGCCCCCCTTCCCCCCCGCCGCACGCGGCTCCACCACGCCAAACTCTACTACGACGCCGCCCGCGCAGCCGACGGCGCGATCCGCAGCCGAACTTGTCGACGGCTCATCGCCGCCCGCCGCCGCACCGGCGGCTGCACAGCCGCCGCCGCCGCCGCCGCCGCCGCCGCCGCCTCCTCCGCCTCCTCCGCCTCCTCCGCCAGCGGCGAGCACGGCGTCCAGACGAGCGAGGCCACCCGCGGAGCTGGCGATCTGCCGCTCCAGTCTCGCGCAGCGCGCCTCAGACGCGTCTCTCTCCGCCGTCAGCCGAGCCACCGCGTCTGCCTCGCAGGCCGCCGGCCGCGGCGGCGACGTGGGCGGCGGCGCAGCGGGCGGCGGCGGCGCGGCGAGCAGAGTTGTTAGCGGGCCGGCGATGCCGTTGTTGAAGGAGGGGGGCATGACCGAGAGGCGTCGCCCCTTGCCAGCCTGCCTGCCGCCTCCGCCGCCCACCTTGCCGCCCACCTGCTGCAGCTTCGCCTGTCCACGGGGGAGCCACGGGGGAGAGCCGTGAACAGAGGACGCCGCGCCCCCACCTTGCGCCACCCCCACCCTGCTGCGGCTTCGCCTGCGCGAGGACCTGCAGCTGAGCCCGCAGCGCCTCCGCCTCCGCCTCCGCCGCCTCCGCCCTGGCGGCAAGCGGTTCGAGCGTGCGCAAGCGAGAGTGCTGCTCCGCCAGCTGCGCGCGCAAGCCCGCGATCACGCTGTCCGAGTCGTCCTCCCCCCCCTCCAGCTCCGCCCGCAGCCGCGCCGACTCGACCTCGACGACAATGCGGCGCAGGGCGTCGATGCCTAAGGAGTGGCTTGGCGATGCCATTCAGAACGAGGCAGGGCGGGTGGCGGTGAGGGAGGGCGCGTCGATGATTCCGTCTCGGGCAGAGCGCTGCTCCGCCTGCCTCCGCGCGGGCGCAACCCCGTGCAGCACCTGCACAGAGGGCGGCGGGGGGGCGACAGCTGCGAGGCTGTGAGAGGCTTCGAGAGGCTTCGAGAGGCTTCTAGGGGCTTCGAGAGGCTGCGAGAGGCTGCGAGAGGGCGACAGCTGTGAGAAGCGGGAGCAACAGAGTGCAGCACCTGCACTCGCTCGAGCATGTCGTGCAGCTCCTCCGCCTCGGCGTCTCTTCTCTTGAGCGACTCCTCCAGCTCGGCCAGGCTCCGCTGGCTCTCGGCCAGCTCCTCCTGCACCGCCTCCGCCTGCTCCTTGGCAGCCTCGAGCTCGCGACTCACCGCCTGCGCCTCGGACGGCCCTGCCAGAGCCTCTTGCCACGCCCTCGCCTCCGCCGCGTTGCCCGCGAAGCCCCCACCGCCCTCACCGCCGCCGCCGCCGCCGCCGCGCGCGCGCGCCAGCTCCGCGCGAGCGGCGCGCAGCTCCGCTCTCAGCTTGTCGTTCTGCGCCTGTTCACACAGCGAGACGCGTGAAGACGCTGTCCGCAGCTCCCACGCGCACAGCTTGCCGTTGCGGCGCCTGGATCTGCTCGGGCGAAAGCAGCGTGTTGACGACGGCGGCGTTCTTGATCGCCTTTGCGCGGACGGCGAACTGGAGCGTCGACTTGGTCTCGGCGGCGTTCTGCTGGGCGGGCGAGCAGGCGACGAGCAGCAGCGTCTTGGAGTTGCCTCCGAGCGACTCTTGCAGGATGCGCGTCAGCTTCGAGTTCCGGTAGGGCACGTGCGCCTTTCGTCGACAAGTTCGGAGTCATCGAGCATGGTGCAAGGAAAGGCAAGGGACGGGCGCCTTCCCGTCGGCGAGGGCGGAGATGACGAGGCTCAAAGCGGAGAGCGACGCGTTGATCTTCTTGGCCTCGTCGAGGGTGCCTCCGGTCGCGCCCGTCTTTGAGATCTTTTCAGATCCGGCGAGGTCAGCGATGTTCAGCTTCGAGACGCGAACCGAACCGGAGCGGGACCTACTCGGGAGGGGAATGGACGCTCAGTGCGAAAACGTGGAGCGGCCCGCGGCGTGGCCGGGTGGGCGGCTTTTGCTGCAGCGTCAGCGTCAGCAGGGCGTGCGAGCGCGACGACTGGCTGTTCATCAGAGTCGCACCGACCATCCGGTGGGCGTTGCCGCACTGGAGTACGTCGAGCACGTCCGCCTCGCTCGCCACCATCACCTGGCTAAGACCCTCCACGTACACCCCCGCCTTGGCCGTCTCCCGGATCGCCAGACCGCCAGCAGCACCGCCGCCGCCTCCCGCGCCGCCAAACGCGGTCGGCGGCGGCGCCGCCGCCGCGGGCTCGAGGAGGTCGCGGACGACCTCCTTGTAGATCTCGAGGTACGAGCAGGAGAGGAGGTACTCTGCGCCGCTCTCGTCGCCGCACAGCCGCCCGAAGATGTGCTGCATCGCCCGCGGCAGCACGCCCGGCTCAGACGCCGTCCCCATCACCGAGTGCGTCTTTCCGGAGCCGGTCTGGCCGTAGGCGAGGACGGTGCCGTTGTAGCCTTGCAGCACGGCATCCACGATCCCGGAGACGTGCCCGTACGTCTCCGCCTGCGTCGCCTGCGTCGGCAGCACGGCGTCGAACGTGTGGCTCGCGCCGCCGTCCTCGGCGAGCGAGACGGTGCGGCCGTCGTCGGCGAAGCGGACTGCGGGCGCGGACAGCTGCGACGCGGCCTCGCGCGCGCTCGGCGGCCGGAAGCGGGCGACGACCTTGATGGCCTCCGAGCCGCCGCTCATCGCTGCTGGAAAGTGTGTTTGAACCAGGTTGGTTGTGAAGAGCTGGGGCGCGCCACCCAAGACGCCGACTCAGGGTGTGTGGCAGCCCGCTGGCTGTGTGTCTTGTGAGCTTTTGTGTCTGTGTGTCGCTCGTGCGTGTCGTCATCATCTGTCCAGCGTCCACCCATACCGCGTTGGTGTCCAGTCCGAGCCTGGCTGTTCTTCACCTTTCTACCTACCTACCTACCCAAGAGCCTAGGTAGGTGCGGATCGGCAACAGCGCAATCGATCTTTTTGCCCTCTATCACCTTGGGTTGCAAGAGCTTGAAACACACCACGCAGGGGCACAGCAAGCACGGATAGCCGTTGAGGAGAAAGGGAGTCGTTCAAGCCGCGGCAGGAAAAAAGAATAACGCACCGTCGTCCGAGCTGAGAAGAGGACCGCCGCAAGCGGCGTGGCGTGGGTCGGTTGTGCATCCCTCCGGGGGCCCCTCTGCGCCGGGGAGGCGTTGTTGGAGGCTAGGACGCAAGCAAGCGTCCGTCGCCCTTTTCAAACTCGGGGCCCACTCCGCTACGCTCCGACCCAATAAATAAATAAATAAAACGGACACCTCTACTAGGAGATGGGTAAAAAGGAACAGGTCCCCGCCCTGCGGTCTTTGTGCAGGGTTCTTTGTGGGTGTGGTCGGAGACTAGCCGGGGTCGTCCTCCCGATGCGCAGTGAGAAGAGCGGCGGCGTAGTAGCGGTCGAGAGAGAGAGGAGTTGTGTTCTTCACACCGTGTCGGGCGGGAGGTGTCCGGCGACGAGGGGTCGCGACACACATCTCGCACGCGAGGTCGAACCATGTTCTCTTCTTCTTATTTCTTCACTTTCCTGAACTATCCTATCATCATGGTTGCAACTAAAAGATCTAATCACCCGAATACCACGTTCGGATCGCTCCTCATCGCAAACCCTGTCAGCAGTTCACCTACAGGTATGTTCGTAAGAGCCACATACACTGAAAAAGACCTCCAAGCCCTGGGAGCCCTCCCCTTACAACTGTAAAGTAAAACGAAAACTCATTGTTGATGGTGGAGTGCTGCGAAGGGAGACTATGATGGACGCGGGAGCTCTCTCCGCCGGCAAGCCATAAGTACAATACTGGGCGCGTCGAATAGGCGCGACTTTGCTTTCTCTCTCTGCGCGGTCCGGCAAACCCTTCTGCCGTCGTGCCAGCGCGAGTCTATGAGTCTGCTGACGGCGCTGCATTCGACATTCGTCGGCTTCACTGCCGCGAGCGCCTCGGGTGTCCGCGCGACGCTGCCCCTCGCAATCATGGCCTTCGCGAAACATCTCGGCCTCGTCGACCTCGCACCAGGCACCTTGTTTCGACAGCCCACAACCACCGAACCAGCACACACCGCTGTCGCTGGCTCACATCGGTTGCACCGCGCTTTGTGTTTGTGAAGAAGTTTGCCTCACCTTACCCCTGCCCCACTGTGCTCTCAGGATACGAGTGGCTCGAGTCCAGCACGGCGAGTTTCGCGATTCCGCTCGCGCTCGTCGCAGAGCTGGTTGCCGACAAGGTACCCGCCGTGGACTCGGTTCTTCACCTCTTCGCCACGCCTCTCCATGCGGCAGCAGGCTTCTTTGCCATTGCAGCACCAGCGGGTGCCTTTGGCGGTGCTATGGCGGTGGAGGGGCGCGCGCTCCAAGCCATTGGCGATGCGACGGCGAGTGCCTTGTCTTCTCGTCGTGCACCAACACGGAGAGGCTCACGCCCGAATCGGCACCGCACAGGCGTCCGAGGGCCTCTTTGTCGCGCACTGCCTGGGCGTGCTGTTGGCGCTCGTCATACACGCCGCAAAGTACCTGACACTTGGGCTTGCCACTAAGGGCGGAGGGTTTGTACTCAATCTGCTGGACGAACCACAGGTCGGCCGCGAGGGCTGTCGCTACCGCCGCGTGCTGTGGAACGGCCAACTGCTGCGTTTCGCTCTGCGAGGCGACTCCCTAGAGGCCGCCCTATTGGGGCGTACAGAGCACATCGAACATGAGTTCTCGCGCCCGCCGCCCAGACATCGCTCTCCAACACGTTCGCCCGTCGCCCAGGACATCCTCGTCGTCGTGCTACTGCTGCTGGCACTGGCGTTTGCGCTGGCGGCCATCTTCAGCGCGGCCATGGCTCTGTTTGGCGTGCTCTCTTCGCTGTACTACCTGGTATGCGCACCTTGACCCTTCACTGCAAAAACAAAAAAACAAGCCCCTCCCTCCCCGCCTGGTATGCGCACCTTGACCCTTCACTGCAAAAACAAAAAAACAAGCCCCTCCCTCCCCGCCAGGTTTGTGGCCACGCTGACAAGCATCGGCAGAAAGAGCAGCAACAACACCCAGAGCCGGGCTCGTGGCGGTACCAACAGGTGAGGGAGGGCAAAGGTTCCGTGCTTCCCGCTGCGCTGGACATCGCCAAGGACAAGACCCGCGCACTAAAACGCTCTTTTGGAAGTGGGACGCCCTTGCTATGAGTCGGTACATTATGTGTGTCTGCGGGACTCATGATCTCCCGCAGCGGCAGTAAACAAGTGATATTCTCGGCGATGCCGATTCTCCACAAAGGGGGGGGCACCCTCGCGAGCGACTCCACGCCTATTACAACTATATCTATAAGACAACGCGGCATTTCAATGCAAGGCCCGGTGGCGGTGCGCGTGGGGTGCAACGCGTGTCAGCCGCTGCCATGTATCCGACAAATGTGCCGCTGCTGCTACCCTCCCATCAGCGTTTGCGATGATTCCGCCGTATCGGCGCCAATCGGTAAAATATTGCACGGAATGAAGTCCTGATGACTCCCGGATAACTCGCGCGAGCCGATTGTGCGATGCAGGAGTTGATGTCGAGCCATGCTATGCTGCGCGTGGACAAGGCTGCCGCAATGGCGAACGAAGCGAGCGCAGCGGTTGCCACTCTTCAGTCGCATGTCGACCATCTGAGAGGTGAGCTGGAGCGCAGCCGGGCAGCGGCACAGCAGCTCGTATCAGGGGTGCGTGCGGAGATGCAGCAACACCGAGCCGCAACAGAGCAGCAGATCACGGCCCTGCGCACCGATCTCTACGAATCCCGCGCGCAAGTGGCGGCCCTGGGGGCGGAGCTCTATGAGGCCCGCGCCCACGCCGGGAAAGATTCTCCGGTTGCGCAGGCGGCCCTGCTTGATGCCGGCAAAGAGAACGCCGCACAAGCGAGCCTGCGTGAGCCCGGCAAGGAGTCTCCAGGGAATGCCGCGGAGGAGCTCGATCGACCCGCAGGAGCGGTCGCTGTCGCGGTGAAGCTGAGTGCAGCCGCGGAAGAATGTCTGGCAGTGGAGCTCCATTCGCCTGCTCAAAGTGTCACCCCCGCGGGACAACCGTTGGTCGCCGATGGCGCGTCAGATATCGAGCCGGCTGCAGCAAAGCTGGCGGAGCTGGCGGTCACTGACAGTGGGATGGAGTCCGACTCGTCCGCTGAACGCCCAGCGGTCACTGACGGCGTGGCAGAGCCAAACTCGCCGCCCGCCGCAGAGCCAAACTCGCCCGCCGCAGAGCCCGACTCACCCGTGGCAGAGCCAAACTCACCCGCGGCAAAGCTCAACTCACCGGCGGTAGAGCCCAAGTCTCCCGTGGCGGACGATGGTGGCTCAAAGAAGCGAAAGGGCGAGACGGGACGCTGGATCATAACGGAACATGCGCGAAACCGACTGGAGGAAATATTCAAGGACAACAGGTTCCCGTCCCTGGAGACGCGCAAGAACCTCGCGGAGCAGCTGAGCGTGACCCCGAGGCAGGTGCAGGTTTGGTTCCAGAACAAGAGACAGCGGCCCGGTATGAGCGTTGGCGCCAAACCTGGGCCGAAGCCTCGCGAGCCGAGCGCTAGCACAGACATGTGGGCGGCGACGGCGGCAGCGGCGCACGCGGCGGCGGCGGCGGCGGCCGCGCACGCGGTGCCGGCGTCGCAGCTCGTCCCAGGCGGCCCGGGCGCCTACGGCATCGGCAGTCAGTGGGGATGGGGCGTCACCCCTGTTCAGCCGGTACATGGTCCACTACCGCTGCCGCCAGCTGGCTCATGGGGGCCGATTGGCGGTGGTGGCAGCGGGCCAGCGGGCGGCGTCGAGAGTGGGAGCGCTCCGGAGGTAGCCACCACTCGGGGCGGCGGACCAGGCGCCTTCACGCCAGTTGCAGCCCGGAGCCCCGTCAGGGCGGTGCCTCTGTGAGACGAACACGGGTTATGATCTTCAAGTCCACACAACCCATCGGCATCGCCATGCGGTGAGACGCGGCTCTGCGTACGGCTAAAAATGTTGGGTGGGGCATGCGCGCGCGAACACGTGCTTGTTTGCGCGGTTGGACGTAATATACACACATGTGTGGTGGTAACAAAGAAAAGACCCGTCTCACCAGCCTCACCTTCTCCCTCTCTCAGCGTCCTCGCCGATGGCGCTGCTCCCAGCCTCCCTGCCGTCGGCGCTGTTTTTCTGCTCCACATCAGCGCTAGCCTCCTCCTGCCCGTAGAAGACGGCCGCCGAGCCCTGAAGCAGCTCGAGCGACGCGAGCGCGAGCCGCGGGTGTGCGAAGTACATTAGCAACGCCGCTGGGAGGCCGAGCCCCAATAGCTGCCAGCGGCGCTCGCCTGTTCCCGTTGCGCGTGTGTGAACAGGAGCCATCACGGGGGCTTGTGCCCTGCATCGTTCCAAGCGCGCGCCCGACCACGCGAGCCACTCGGCCTTGGTCAGCCGGATGCTCAGCTGCGTGAGGAGGAGCTCGCCCTGCGCCGCCGAGAGCGCGGCGAGGTAGGCTGCGTGCCTCGCCGCCTCTTCGACCCAGGAGAGAGGGACTACGCGGCCGCCGACGAGGAGCAAAGCGAGGAGCGCGAACGCCGCTGTCTCGACCTGCACCGAGAAACGGGCGGCGCTCCGAGGTTACCTCGCCTGCGCTCGTTTGCCCGCCTCGCGTGCAGTCTCCGTGCATTGCTTCTTATCGGCTGTTCTTGGCTTCGGCCACATCTGGCTGTCTCGGCTGCATCTCGGCGGGTCTGACGCACCGAGAGCGATGCGGCAAAGGAGGTGACGAGGCGCATCACGCGGAGGAGGGAGGAGAAAAGGGCCGAGCGTGCGACGACGGAGCAGACCAGCGCAGCTCCTGAGTATAGAGCCGTCTCGGCGTTATAGACCCAGCACCTCTCGCTTTGTGGAGAGACCCAGCTGGCGCGGCGTGCCGACGGCAATCGCGATGGCCGGCAGCGCGATCGTCGACGCCGACAGAGCACCGATCGCCAGCGGTATGAGGAGGGGCAGCGAGGCGACAAGGACAATCAGCAGTAGGCCACCGACTAGGAGCATGCTGCAGATGCGCGCCTGCTCATCGCGAGAGGGTGAACGGCGCCCGCTCGCGGGGCGGGAGTGGTGGCCGCGAGAGCGATTCTGCGCGCCGCCAAAAGTAGCGCCTGTTTCCACAGGCCACGCACGACGCGCGCTTGGGAGAGCTCGGCGGCCCTCGGCGCGTTGGCGTCGCGGAGCGCCGCAAAGAAGAGGGAGGCGTTGAGCGACGGAGAGAGGCGCTGAAGAGAGAGGTCGGGATGTGGTGCGGGTGTGAGAGTGAGGGCAGATGTGGTGCGCATGCCATCAAGGGGCTCTGCAGCTAGCCTGTGCAACTTGGAGAGTCGCGAGCGCGGAGTAGAAGAGAATGGTATCGTAGGAGAGTGAGGCCGCCCGCTCGGGCAGGAGTCCGCACCATGCGACGGCGCCGAGCACGAGGCTCACGCTGCGGGCAAGCGCCTCGCAGGTGGCCTGCGATAGGCGGGCTTGTGGCAGTAGCAAGCGATGCTTCTGCTACTACTAGGTGTGCGGTGATGCGACTTTGGCATGGGCGGGGGCGGGCCTGTGAGAGAAGCATCGATGGCAGGGCGTGGTAGAGGAGGGTGGGCCGCGACGCCACGTGCGCGCAGCCCGCCAGGGAGCGGACCATGCCGTTAAAGACGAGCTCTGCTGCCGGCCGCGGCATTGCCGCTGCCAGCTCTGCGGCCGGCCGCGGCATTGCCGCTGCCAGCTCTGCGGCCGGCCGCGGCATTGCCGCTGCCAGCACTGCCCCGGGGGGGGGGGGGGGGGGGCCGGCGGTGCGGTTTGTCGGCGAAGCGGTTTTCACAGCCTTGAGCACTTGAGCTCCCCCACTGGATAGGGTCGCGCTGGGACTGCAGGTCCCCGCCGATCTCGCACATGTCGGTGACGTGCCCCTCGTTGAGATGGAAAGTCGTCTGAGGGTTCGCCTTTCACCGAGCACGAGCTTGCCGCAGGCTCGTGCACGGACCATGTTGGCCGCCGCATACATGGTGCCGTTGTGACGAATGTTGTGCTCGCACGGAATGTCCTTCGATCCGTTTGCAAGCTGGTCGCCCTTCCGCATACCGATGGTGACTGTCTCACCAGCCGCCTCCTTGGCGTCGTACACGTACTTGGCGCTGGAGATGTACTGGTTCCTCGCCGCCTGGTTCATCGAGCCCGAGCAGGAGGCGCTGGCGCGAGTGGAGAGATGGTGGCCGGCTCTTGCCAGACCAGTCTTTAGTGCATCGCCCTTGCCTGTAGGCCGAGACCGCGTGAGTCCACCTCACCCCTCCAAGGACGGCTCTCTTCGGCGCGCCTCTCTCGATACGCCATGTACGCGTCGGACACGACGCTTGCGCGCCGACGAGCCTCCTATCTACTAGCATGAATGGCAATGCACCAGCCTCTTGTGAGGCCTCTAGTAGCATGAATGCTTCGTCGTACGACACGTGTACGTGTGTGTTGGGGTGTGTGCCTGTGCCGCACCTGGCGCGGCGCTTCACCCACCTCAACTGTCCGGTCATGTGTCAACACGAGCGCGTCTCTCGCCCTTGACATGTACGGCGTACGGCTGTGTACGGTGTTATTGACGATCCGCGACATACCCGGATGACATTGACGGATCGCCCGTGGCGCCTTCGCGCAGTCGCAAAATCACGCTCGCTTTCCACGAAGATACACAGCAGTAAGCGCGTCGCGTCTCTCTCGGCGCAGAGCAGCAAGCAGCACACAGTGAGCAGTGTCACGGCGTACTGTCAACACACGGCGGTGACGAGGCCACACTCACGCACACTGGCGTCTCTGGACAGAGACCGTCACGCCGACGGCGCTGACCGCAGCTCCGGAGCAGAAGCCGCTCGTCGGTCGCCGGGCAGCGACGATCGCAAGCAGGCCACAGTGAGCAGTGTCACGGCGTACATTCAACACACGGCGGTGACGAGGCCACACTCACGCACACTGGCGTCTCTGGAGCGAGACCGTCACGCCAACGGCGCTGACCGCAGCTCCTCTGAAGCCGCTCGTCGGTCGCCTGGCAGCGACGCTCGCCGCTCGGCGCCTGTTGTTGCCTCGGCGTCACCACAAACTCGGCACCCGACAACCGCACGCGACGGCACGGCCACACGCACGCCGAACCGGAGCCGTTCGTGCCCAGCAGCGGAGGCGAGGAGCACAATGGCAACCCACCCGTCCCAACGGATCCGCTGGATTGGGCCGGCAAATTCAGAATCGCGATAGTATGTGTTCACGGCGAAACGCTGTGAATACACA